CTGTGTATACTTGAGGAAAAGATCTGCATTATAAATATAAATGTTCTTGACCAGCACAATTCACAAAATATTTTGTACAGTGCAGTGCTTTAATTTGTAACTAAGTCAGTTGTGTTTTGTGTTTGTCTCTCAGCGAAAGTGTAAAAAAGAAAACAATAAAACTGCGTCGGAGTGTTTTTGTATGTACTCTAAGAGCCTCTTTCTTCTCTGGGCAAGAAGAGTCCCTTTCTGTCTGCCTGCGTTGTACATAGACTGTGAATGGAAACGAGATCAGAGGTCTTGTAGATCGACTGTAATGTTACATATGTAATGTAAAGTGGGAGAGGAGGAGCTTTTAGTCATGTTGGATTTGTTTTTGTGAGGTTTTTTGAAACTGATTTAAGAAAACCATGGATGTTCACGCAGTAGCATCGGAGTTTTTTCTTTACTATCGTTACTCTTTACCGTTACTAAACCAACATTTCTGGTGTGTTGTTAAATAACCTGCTGAAATAGTGCAGTTAGTCCAGCTATAAAGAATTTAGTCTTTGGAATTGCTCAGTTTTTATTTATTTATTTATCTTTTTTTGTGGATTACTCAAAAAAAATAATAAAATTTCAGTTAAGTTAAAGAACTAAACTAATAACACAAAAACACTTTTGACATCAGTAAGAACCACAACCGAATTCATGCTTTCTGTAGCTGCATAAGAGTCGTCAGTGACAAGCAGGGTTTAGGGAACATCAACAAAACGATACTTTTGGGATGTTTCGATTCATTTTTCATTCTGCTTTTGCTTCAGTGCTTTTGTTCTACAAATTCTCATAAGTTGTAGAAGTCCTGCTCCTTTGGGGGGGACTACACATTGTGCTTCTGTTATGATCTTTACAGAATACTTGCCACAATGAGTCGTCCTGAATTTACTCAATTTGTGCTTTTGCAAATGGATCAACACAATAGTCTTTTGCATTGATTGTAAAAATCACCACAGCAGTTTGCTCTGGGTGCTTTATATTGGAAAATACAGACTATACAATATTACCCCTCTACCAATGCCAAGCAAGCATTTGACAATGCTGGGAAGAAACTCCTCTCTTTAAAGAGACTTCATCCAAGTGACAAACACTACAAACGCTACGTCCACATGAACAGAGTCAACTTTTGGGGAATAGTAGGACTTCTTTGTGCATTTTTGAGGGAGTAAGCTTTTAAGAGATACACAGAGGAAGTAAATACTGAAGTTAACAATTGAAAGCACCACTCAGGTGCATCCCAGCTGGTACTGTAAGGGTTTGCTCACTGTTTTCAATAAAGATCTGAAAAGTTTCAATGTTTGCATTAGTTTAGTCAGATTGAGTTTGTTTCTACTTTGTGAAGATGGACCACATTTTTAGTTGTAAATTCAGAAATTCCAAATTGTTCACATCTTTCTTCCAACGTGGGTATGCGCTGAAGAAATACCTCTGAGACAATGCTGTATGTGCAACACTTTTAGGAGATGGTGCCATTGTATCGCTGTACTGAAGAGGTTTCAATGACAGTGAAGCCTAAGTGAAGATGATGCTTTATCTTCAGCTTAGCAGTTGTACAGAAGTCCAAAGAACTGAAATTTTTAAGATTAAAAATCTTAATTGTGATAATGTCCTAAACAAGTAAATGTAACAAAAGCACAGGCTCTGAATTTTACTCAAAGTAAGTAAGTTTGCTCTTTGCTCCTTGAAGGACGGTTTTACTACCAGCTGTTTTTATGCAAGGGTAACTCAGCCTTGTGCTATATTAATATTATAATAAAATAATATTAGTACATAAGAATGCAAATTGAAATTCTAATTCTAATGAATGTACTCAGCTTGAATCTATTATGTAGGACACAAGCAGTAAAGCAGAATTTGAAAAAAATAACCATTTTCTGTTGATTACATCGTAGACGGTGACTTTAAATTAAATTAAGATCCCTAAAAACCCAAGTAGCTCAACATAGGGAAAAGAATCATGACTCATAATCATTTCTATTGTGTGCTCCAGTAAGTTTTCTGTATACAGCTGGTATAAAGGTGCAATTCAGTTAATTTACCATCATCATTAAATGCAAATTAATCTTGATGTAATCTGACACTTACCATGAGCACCAAACCAACACAGGGCTTCACTCTGAAATCGCCACAGTACTACAAGCTAACCTTTTTATCCAGAACAAAAGTACCAGTATTGTCATGCAACATTTCAACATCACAAAGTTACGTTTCAAGAGGTGAGATTAAGAGAAAATGTCTCCCCAACTTAAGATGTAAAAGGTCTTAAAAGCCACCCTTTTATGATTAAAGTGAGTGCTATGGAGGGTTTCTGTGTGTGATTTTGCTAATACTTCAGCTGCTTAAATTTAATCAAAATATAATCACACATTAGTCTAATAAAATATAATTAGAAAAGTCGAATGAGAATTTAATCATTGGAATGAAATGTTTTTAATACCCGAGTTCTGACATTTTACTGATATTGTGTGTGTACTTCTTTGCTGGGACTGTTTGTGTCGATGGAGAATGTAAGTAAGTAAAACTGTATTTATATGGCACCTTTCTAGATAAAAAGATCACAAAGTGCTTCACACAGGGATGACAAAGTATAAAACAAAAACAGACAGAAGTTAACAAAATGCAATTCTAAAAAGACGTGTTTTTAGTTGTTTTTTTTAGTTGTCCACAGATCTTAAGCTCAGTGGGAGAGAGTTCCACAGTCTGGGAGCCACAGTGGCAAAAGCTGTGTCTCCCTTAATCTATCACCCCAGAACAGGGGTGACAGATTCTATCACCCCTGTTCTGGCCAACTTACATTGGCTTCCTATTAAATACCGAATTGATTTTAAAATTTTATTGTTTACTTATAAAATCCTAAACAATATGGCACCTGACTACCTAGCTGATCTCCTCTGTCTGTAGCCCTCAGAGAGCACTAAGATCATCGGGCCAACTGCTCTTAGTGCAACCTAGGTCTCGGCTGAAGACCAGAGGAGACCGTGCCTTTGCCGTTGCCGCACCCAGGTTATGGAATATTCTTCCTCTTCATATTCGCGCATCAGATTCCATTCAGTCTTTTAAATCACGTCTAAAAGCGTATTTGTTTAACCTGGCATCCAAGGCTAATTAGGGTAATTTACATCTGGCTTTGCATTTAGATTATGTAATTATTTTATATTTTATTTATTTTATTTATATCTGTAATTTATATTTTATATTGTGACTTTTTATCTGTATCATGATTTTACTGGAAAGCACTTTGGTGTACTTCAGTCTTTAAAATGTGCTATATAAATACATTTTGATTGATTTTTGATTGATTAGTTCTCTGCCTTGTAGGCTGAATAACCAGTAGTCCCTGATCACATGACCTCAGAGACCTGCTGGGGACATAGGGCTGTGAAAGTTCAGTGATGTAGGCTGGCGCTTGTCCATGAAGAGCTCTAAAGGTCAGAACCAGAATCTTAAAATGGACTCTGAATTCGATGGGGAGCCAAAGCAGCTGTGTTAGCAACGGTGTCACATGAGAGTACTTAGATGTTTTGGTCAGAAGCCTTGCTGCAGCCTTTTGGACAATCTGTCGCTCCAGGGAGTCCTTGTTAGACATGTAAAGAGGGAATTACAGTAGCCCAATCGTGATGAAATGAATGCATGGACAACAATCTCCAGTTCAGTACGAGATACAATAGGACTTCATTTAGAAACGTTTCTTAAATTATAAAAGCAGGACTGAACCAGAGATTTAACGTGAACATCCAGAGTGAGATCTGGGTCAAAAGTTACCTCTAGGTTCCTGATAGATGATTTCACAAATGTTGAAAGAGGACCAAGAGCATTCATTATGTCAGGTACATGTCTGTCAGGAGCACATACAAGGACTTCAGTCTTTCCTTCATGAAGTTGGAGGAAGTTGTTGGCCATCCGACCTTTGATGGATTCTAAGCACACATTTAGAATCTGCAGCTTAGAAACATCTTGGGGTTTAAAAGAAATGTATAACTGGATATCATCTGCGTCGCAGTGGCAACAAATGTCCTCAAAACGCCTCAAAATATGCTGGAGAGGAAGTGGATATATTAAAAACAATAAAGGCCCCGGCACAGAACCTTGTGGCACACCATAGGTGAGGGAAGTGGAAGATGACCTGTACCGAGAAACTGCCACAGAAAAATATCATTCAGACAGATACGAGGAGAACCAGTCTAAGGCAGATCCAGATACACCGAACCCATACTTCAGCCTTTCAAGCAGAATGTGATGGTTAACGGTCACAAAGGCCGACGTGAGGTCCAACATCAGGAGAACAGAACATTTTCCTGCATGTTAGACTGAAGACTCTAAGAAAGGCTGTTTCAGTAGAATGAGCTCTGCAAAAGCCAGACTGAAATTTGTCAAGGATATTGGGTTTGACGGTATTTTTGAAATTGGCCTGTAAGCATTTGGCAGCATTTTTTAAAATAAGCAGGGACTTTACCAGACACCGGTGAAGTGTCAATTATGGTGAGCACACAGGGGCCGATAGACTGGAAGACATTTTTGAATAACGATGCAGGTAAAATGTCAAGTGAACAGGACGATGCTTTCATTGAAAACTACTTTTACCAGCTCTGGTAGTGAGATGGGTAAGAAACGTTCTAAGATAACAGGCCGAGCTGGAGAAGGAACCGACTATGCAGATGCTGATGGGGAAATTTTTTTTTCTTACATCACTATTTTTTCTAGAAAGAAAGAAAAAAAATGTAAACATGGCACACAGGCCAGATCTTGTCTGAACATGTCAGGATAACTAGGCAAATATTCAGAGAAAGTAACAAATTCAGACTTCAAAAAGGCGAGAAGAAGCATAAATGAGCCACATCTCTGTTTTATCTCAGTTTAGCAGATTCTTTATGTATGTATACATGAACCATTCTGAACATGTTTTGGTTTCTTAGGTGTTGTAAGAACATCCTGTTCCTCTTCAAAGTGTAATTTCCTGCAGCAACTTGACAGATGTCAAAGCGACAACAAACCACAACATCACCGCTTTAGCTTGTTTCACTTTACTGATCTGGAGCATGGCGAGTGCAGTGGAGAGGTTGCTGTGGGCCTGCATTATCCTGGATTCTGGTGTGCGCTCGATTTCACTGCCAGAAATCAGTGATTTGAAGTTCATTGAGGAATGTGTGAAGGAGCACAACTTGGCGCGGTCATCTGTCAGTCCCCCTGCTACCGACATGCTGTACATGGTACGTGAAGAAATGGCGTTTGTTTCCTCTCTCTAGTTCTGGAAAGCAGTAATAAAATCACAGTGAGTAAGCAGTGATAGAAAAAAATGACTTGTTCATGTCTTCTGTGATCTGTCTGCAGACTTTGTTGGGAATGAGGAGGTGAGGGAAAGAAAGTTATTAAAGCATGTACAGTTGTACAAAGCTTCATGCAACACATTCACAAAGCAGACTTGACGTTATTAAGCAGAAGTCAGAGGAAGTAATATAAAAGACAGACAAAGCCACCGATAGTCACAGATAGAAAAGATCTTCGGTAAGTAAAGAAATAAAGAACAGTTCGGTGACAACAAAACTGTGCAATAGATTGCACTCAAACTGCCTTTCTGGCATGGCTAAAGTGCACTGCAAATGTTGTGGCAAAAACCTCGCCACAAGTTTGGAAGTCGACTCAGCCATTTGACTTTTTACTTCTGCTTGTGTATCACAAATAATGTACTGACTGAAGTCAGAAATGTGTATGCACGAAAATGAAACTAGCGTGTTAGAAAAAACTGAATTAACAAAAGATGAGGTCTAATGCTTCAAATCTTCTGTATCTGCTTATCCAGACGTGGGATGAGGCCTTAGCCATTACTGCAAAAGCGTGGGCAAAGCGCTGTATATTTGATCACAACATTTACCTCAAAGATGCTTCCCGCATGCACCCTATCTTTCTCTCTGTGGGAGAAAACATATGGACAGCCTATCCACCATCACAATTTAATACAGCAAAAGCCATAAAGAGATGGGTGGATGAAGTAAAAGACTACAGCTACCAAAAGAACAGCTGCAATAAGGTTTGTGGCCACTACACACAGGTATGTGACCTTTCTACTGCATGCATAATGTGGAGAAAAAAAAGAGAAAAAAGTGAACCATGATTTTTATATTTTTCTGCATGTGACACTTTAACCTCTTTGGTCTTTGCAGGTTGTGTGGGCCAGCACCTACAAAGTTGGATGTGCAGTACAGCTGTGCCCAGATGGCATCAAGCACTTCACTAATGAAAAAGGTGTCCTCTTTGTATGCAACTATGCCACAGCGTAAGTTGAAAACATGTTTAAATAACACAGTGAAATTAGCAAATGAAAACTTTTGTCTCAGCAGGTTATTCTGGGCTGCCCTGAGTGTCATGTGAAAAAAGGAATTTGTTTATACGTATGTGTTATGCCGCAGTCAACTCATCCAAAATGCTGCTGTGAGAGTACCCACAGGAACTAGAGCCAGGGTGGAAACTCCAGGCCTCGAGGGCCGGTGTCCTGCAGGTTTTAGATCTCACCCTGGGTCAACACACCTGAATCAAATGGTTCGTTCGTTACCAGGCCTCTGGAGAACTGCAAGACATGTTGAGGAGGCCATTTAGCCATTTAAATCAGCTGTGATGGATCAAGGACACATCTAAGACCTGCAGGACACCGGCCCTTGTCATTGGCTCCCTGGCCCCGTCTTATCTCAAAAACCTTATGAAAAGTTACCTCCTTTGCACAGTGTCAGCTTAAAGCACTTGTTGCTGCTGAGTTTGCATCTTTTGCTGTGGAGTACAGCCAGACTTTTGACTGCTTCGCCTTGGGCATTTTTAATCTGTAGCTCTGCTCTAAAAGAATGTACGTACTTGGGCCCGCCTACTATCCTTGAAAAGGTAAAATGATTGGCTAGAATTCAAAGTGTCTGACATCTCAGGGGAAAAAAAGCACCGAAATAAAGCACCAAAATGTGCGCTGCTTGTCGGTCTGGTTACTACCGTTTATGTCAGAAGCGGTGCCACAATGGCACTGGATACGGTACCCATCCCTAGTCATAACTTCTTACCTGAAGTTCAGTTCACCTGACGCTCGGACTGGCGGCCACCTCGGGTCTCTGCTCCTCCTGCCTAACCTTTCCCTCATCCACCTGCTGGCCTCTGTGGAAGCTCCGCCATAGCCACCACCAAACAACTGAGTTATTTTTACACACCGGTCAGCATCTGGACAATCCACCACCTTTCATTGTTTATACCGTCACAAAAAAACCCTCCCAAAAAAATCATCGGCCCATAAAAACTAAAAATCACCATCGGCCCACCGGGCAGATGCCTGGTGGGCCGATGGCCAGTCCAGCTATGGTCTCTCCCTAACAATGTGATGCTGGATGTCTGCCGTTCTGAAACTCCTGTTTGCAGACTACAAAATCTTACCTGGGACAATGTGTTCTAACCCCGTTGTTTTATGGAAGTCATACAAACGAAAATAGTCTGTAAAAAATATCATTCAGTATGATTCAAAGGCGAAATTTTAAAGACTAAGGAAAGTTTAGGGCCAGTCTGCCTGGGCCAGGCAGATCCTCATGTACTAATGAGAAGTGAATGAACTAAAAAAGGGAGCAAGGGTGCAGTTACAATGATCTGAGACACTTTTTTAAAAATAATGTCTGTTGTTTTTATGAATGGCCACAATTAATTATGGGACAGTGTTTTCTCCTCCCCTTTCATAAAGGTCCAGTGTATCCTATGCTAAAGGAAGCATGTTTTTAGCAAGGATGTTTGCAGCTCCAGAATTGGAACAGCTCTTAGTATGGATGCCACACAGATACTCACAGGTCACTTCTCTCACTTTTAGGACCCTCCCTAAGCAGCATGGACTGTTGGAACGAACCCACTGTGTGTTAAGTTATTAATAATCTTTGGCTCTTTTCCATACCTTCACTTTTATCCTGTCCTTCTCCCCTAACCTTTTTTGTGGTATAAAGAGGTTACTATAAGCAGAAAGTACTGAGAAACAAATTAATATCACTGATTTATATGTTTTTCTGGGATCTTTTGACAATAACAATGAAAGAAAGAAACGTCATCTTTAAAATGACCCTATGTTGAAGCAAGCAGATGTGTGTGTGTGTGATAACGTGGGAGGCGGAGGTAAGATGATAAGGGGAAGTGAAGATAATTCCAGAAATTTTCCACCTAGAGTGTGGTGAGGTGACTGAGCCTCTGTTTCTTTTCTTTTACAGGGGTAATATAATCGGACAGCACCCATATGCATCTGAGGGGGGAGCCTGCTTGAGGTGCAGTGGCACTTGTGAGAATAAACTCTGTCGTAAGTATCAAGTGTCTCTGGTTCAGTGTGAAAAGTTGCTGCTTATCTTCAATCAAACCACAAGTTCAAATTTCAGCCCAGCTCATTTTAAAGATGTGAAAATTCTGATTAGAAATCAGCATGGATATTAACTCTTTAACACAGTGGGCCTCATTAACTGACATTTGCACAGTAATGTTCTTGCTGTCATTTTCACAAACCTACAGGATTCATGAATCGTGTCCTGTGTCAGCGAATGTGAATCATTGTAAATAAACAAGTTCATGCTTGCTGTCTGCGGGTTGTAATCTGCAACCTGGAATGTTCACCGTGCATGCTGCCCAGGCCCTCTGTTATAGGAAAACACATTTAGGGTGGTGTGAAGGAGCTCCAAGAGAAAAACTCTCATCCCTTCATCAAAAAAGCAGAATTCTGACTAAAGGAGGCCAAAAAAGTCAGTGTTTTCTTGGAAGTGACACTGGTTTTAAACATTTTTAAAGTATTTAATAATAATATAAAACCCCACTTGGACTGCATGTATCCCCTGAAACTAAAAAGAGAAAAGGTATGACATAAAAGCTGGTGTAGGACAAACTTATAAAAGACCAAACAAAAAGAAGGAAGCAGGTGGAGGACGGGGAGCACCTAATCTTCCACCATGACTAACCCCCTTATCTTTTTACCATGAACCATGAGGTCCGTTTTACATCCTCTCTTTAAATGACCGTAACTTGGTTACCGTTGCAAAATTCAAATGGTTTCAGAAAAAAGAGACAACAAGCTTCATGGTGATGTTCACTTTAGCACAAGGCAATCACAGGGTAGCGTCTGAACAGAGACAGGGAACTCCGCTCCGCCCAGGTTTTGCTTCACATTTCTGCAACTCCTCAACTATTTTGGGCTCGAGAGAAAATTACATTTTTTTCCTATTATTTTATAACCAAAGTCACTAAATAGGTCCAAGTAGCCTGTATGCTACTTGGATGATTAAGGATTAATGAATGCGGTAAAATACAGTTATTACTCACAGTCATTGAGCTGTGCGTTTACATCTTAAAAAATGTCACCTTGTTCTCTTGTGTCTTAATGTTGTTGCAGGTAGTCCTGAACGTGATTCACAGAAAAGTAAGTCTGATGGTGATTAAGCCAAAAAATAATAGCAGTGAAGGGTAAGGTGTAGCTCACATGGCTTTAAAAGTCCACAGCTGAAGTTTGTCAGTGTGTAGTAATGAAGTAAGCAGCACATTCCACTGCACTCAGAATTTGTCATAAAAACCATTTTTGCATTTCCAGGCTACAACTGGAGCCCAGACTGGGACACCTCGGATACCAGCAGCTATAGCTCTGTCAGCGTTCTGATCGCTCGGCCGGTTGCCCTCAGCTTCACTTTCATTACAGCGTATGTAGTCCACTACTTCTACCCTGATGCATTCTGCTATGAATAAAGCAGCTTGGCCTGAGCAACACTGATTTCCTTTAGACATTAAGCAAATTATTCTGTCCATGTGAGGCTTAGGCCCACAAATGTAACATGTATGAAAATTAATAAAATTACTTTTATCTCTGCTTAATTATTATCAACTATCAACTCCACTATCAGTCTCACATTATAGCACCAACAACAAAGTCAGTGCTCAAAAGTAATCTTTCATTTGACAGCACGTTTAAGGTGGTCAGGCCAGAGATGAATGGCCAGACCGCTACGAGCTGATGACAACAGTGACTCGGCCACGCGTTCAAACTGGGGCGTGCATAAGAGCATTTTTTAATGCACAACACAAACCTTGTATCAGTTGGGCTCCAGTAAGAGCAGAATGGGGGATTTGCACCATTCATGTACAGACAAGCAACTGTGTGATGCTGTCATGTCCAAGGACCAAGATCTGTGGTCACTAGGTGGTCCAGCACGTGGTTAACGTCCACGATACTCCCAAAAGTATTCGCTCATCTGCTTTCACACACATATGAACTTGAGACTTGAGTGACATCCAGCTGCTGAGTGGGGGAACAGGCGACCATATGGCTTATAGCCAGAGAGCAGTAAGCCTGGGTTCAACTCTTCTAGGAAGGCTTTCCACAAGGTTAAGGAGTTTTATTTTAAATGGGAATTTGTGGCCATTCTTCCAGAAGCCCATTTGTGAGGTCAGACACTGATGTTGGATGGGAAGGCCTGGCTCGCTGTTGCTAATTCATCCCAAAGGTTTTCTGTTGGACTGAGGTCAAGACTCAAGTCAAGTTTACTCACACCTCATTTGCTTGTCCAGGTCTTTCTGGACCTTGCTTTGTGCACTGATGCACAGTCATGTTGGAACAGTCCCTAAACTGCTCCCACAAAGTTGGGGCCATGAAAATGTCTGTAGTGATCGACTCTAAAGAAAGATGGTGATCTCTGCGTACTCTGCGCCTCGCCACTTTGATGTAATACCAATCAACAGTTTACTGTGAAATATTTAGGAGCATAGCATTCCTGAGAGCAATCCATTCTTTCACAAATACAGGTAGAAGCAATCTGCATGCCCAGATACTTGACTTAATACACCTGTAGCCATGGAAGTGATTGGAATGCCTTATTCCCATTATAGTGCAAATCAAAGAAAGCACTTCAGAAGGCAAAAAGGGTCCAACCCAGGCCTTGAAAGGTGTGCCTAATAATGGGTGTATTTCTTTAAGGGTTTGGAGACTGGGCATCTATGGTAACACAGCAAAAATGGAAATTAAGGGAAATGTAAGAAAACAAGACCTAGTTTATTTAAAAAAGAAAAAATAACTCCTTTAATTTTACATTTTTTTCCCTCTGGAAATAATTAATAGCAAGCGAGTCAAACAGAAGGAAAAAACCAACACATTCCCGTCACTGTGTAACACTGTAAAAAGGAAAGTCAAGACAGACGAAGCATCATCTTGATCCACGCTCTACACATTCACTGAAATTCTTCTTGCTGTGAGCTCAGAGTCTTTTCTCTGTCCAACAAGTGCCACAGCACAGGGAACAGTGCACAGTTAGCCTTTGCTTTTCGCTTTGTTGCTCTTCTTCTTCTTCTTTTCAGTGGTGCTGCTGGTGGGAGGTGCAGGGTTTAATGGTGGAGCACCCAGTTTCTTTGTTTTGGCTTTTTTTACTTTGTCCTTTATAGCTTCGATGTCCAGCTTGCCTTCTGTAGGAGCTGTGGATACATAGATGAGACAAGAATGGACAAATTAAGGGCAAAGCTATACCAAGTGCTCGAGAATCCAGGTTTTTCCTTTAATTTGTCACTGCTAGGTTCTGAGATCAGTGCTTGTTTTAATATTTCTACCTTTAGCAGTCTTCTTCATCAGAGGCTTCTCTTTAGGAGGAATGAAGGCTTTGTTCCGCTCTTCTTGCTTCTTGGTCAGTGCGGTGGCCTGTTTCACCTACAAAGAGGAAGGAAGTTTACAAAGGCGACGTTACACAATGCTTGGTTGCTGCCACTGAAACTCAAAAGCAGCCTGAAGAAAACCGAAAGAGACAAAGCCACCATAAATTCTCACCTTGATTTCTTCCATCTTCTTCCTTTTCTTCACACTCTCCCGCAGGAAGAATTCTCCTGTGGCCAGCTCCTGGTCAACCTGCATAGGAAGTCCACATATTTGAAACGTACTTTAAATTGCCTCAACATGCAATTTAGTCTCAGCGGTTGTGTGTGTTTGTTATACATTAGAAACACTGAAATTCTTCAAACATGCTTCCCCTGACCTTGCTCTCTGGCTGTGGAGGAGGGAACGGGGTGTACTCCTTCTTCACGCTCTTCTTCTTGGGTTCCTTGCGCTTGGCAAGATTCTTGTGTCGGAACTTGGGCAGAAAGCGCTCCCAGTTTTGCATCCGCAGTTCAGGGTCTTTGGACAGCTCCCGTTTGATCATCAGAGTCTGATGGTTGCAGCCGTGGGTGGTGGTGATGGAGGGGCAGAACAGCAGTTATAAAGATGCAATACTTTGGTCATGTTGTGTATTTACACCTTATGTAGTGACTGCAGTAAAATGCTGTTTTATTAAAGACTGCACTGTGCAAAAGTCGCTTATTTCGTTTTTTGCTAGAAAACTGGGAAATAAGTGCAGCGGTAAGTGGAGGGATTTACTGAAATGTGCAAACATAAATGGAAACCAACGAAACCAAAGAACATTTCCAACAAGTCAACGTCTCAGAGGAAATTCCAAGGCTCTTCTTTTGTTCTGTTCACAAGATGATCCCACACAGTTTGAATAACACTGATCTGCTTTTCCATCAGATATGCTTTTCCTGCATTGGCAGTGAGTTTGAGATCGCTGTCATGTCTTCCAGATGGTATTGCATGACAGCTCAGAATCTGAAGGTATTTTTCTGCAACCAGCAGACCACCACCAATTTTGACGAGACCTCCACCACTGAAACCACGACAGAACTAGGGCTGCTCAATTAATCGAATTTTAATCTCGATTACGATCTGGGCTTTCAACGATCATTAAAAATGACTGAGCCGATTATTAGCCCCTCCCTCGTGCTTTACTCTCGCGCTGCTCCGTGTGGCAAATCCAGCGCACCTCTCTGCATTTCGAACACGTGTCACAACAATTAAGAGCAGCCAGTGTTGCCAACTTAGCGACTTTGTCGCTATATTTAGGGAGTTTTCAGACCCCCTTAGTGACTTTTTTTTCTAAAAAGCGACTAGCGACAAATCTGGCGACTTTTTCTGGTATTATTGGAGACTTATTTATGACGACTTTTTGACGTGAAAATGCGTATCGCTCTTACTCTCAACAAGCAGCGGGTGCTGCCGTGGGCACCTCACCCATGCCAAAGCTCTCCCAGGCGGAGGATAGTCCTCCCCCGCTGTTATCAGGGCAGGAGATGTTCACACCCATGCGTCCAAAGGGCAAATGAATCGCGCATGAGTGAAGCCGCTGCTCCCGCACTGACTCTAACGCAGTCAATTCTTCTTCTACTGTTATGCTGTTTTGTGGATCACAAGGTTTAAAACTACTTATAAACAAACACTCTCACACACAAACTAACTCCACCAGAGTGCCAATTTCGGGTCACTTTTGCCAGTCCAGGCCCGGGTAAACGAGCAGGGTTGGAATTGTGACATTAAAAAACAATAATTGCTAAAAGAAATTTAATTTGTAGTTCTAAATAAATTCTAACTGCATTTAGGACGTTTTTTACTCACTTTATGTCTCTTCCACGATGTTATTTCTCTCTCCAACAACACAGGTTACAATTACATTAGCATGACCAATTATACAAATTAGGCGATGACGTCATTTGGCGACTTCTAGCGACTTTTAGGACAACCAATAGCGATTTTCCTTACTGAGGAGTTGGCAACACTGAGAGCAGCGGTCCCCAACCTTTTTTGCGCCACGGACCGGTTTATGCCCGACAATATTTTCATGGACCGGCCTTTAAGGTGTCGCAGATAAATACAACAAAATAAAACTAGTACTGGTACCAAAAAAAAGAAAATTTATTCATAACACACGTGAAAAGACCCAGGAAAACCAAGTAAACGATAAAAACGATAACAAAATAACGCTGAAAACCGATAAAAACCCTGAAAAATATACATTTCACACCTGAGCCTCAACTCTCGCGGCCCGGTACCAAACGACTAACGGACCGGTACCGGTCCGAGGCCCGGGGGTTGGGGACCGCTGATTAAGAGGACCCGAGGGAAGCTCGGAAAGCTAAGCAGAAGTAATTTGGAGAGGAGAGTGACTGCTGTTGGTTGAAAAGAGAGGTAAAAAAAAACTTCAGTGGTGTGGAAACATTATGGGCTGGCGGAGTCAGACGTGGATCAAGTAGACACAGTGTGTAAACTTTGCTACAGTGTAGCTGCACCACAGAGCAACACTGCAAAGTTCACTAAACAGATGTTTACATTTTTCATTTATTTTTTATATTGCAAACATTTGCACTGTTATCAGTATTTGCACACTATTTTATGACAATCTTTAAAGTCATTATTCAACACATTGTTATTGTTAAATAAATATCGTCAAATAATCGAGATCTCAATTTCAGTGAAAATAATCGTGATTATCATTTTTGCCATAATCGAGCAGCCCTAGACAGAACCTCCAGTGTGTTTTACAGACGCTGGAAACTCACTGTTGTATCTCTGTCCTAACCTCTAATACGAGCAGGAACATTTAGAGTTTCAATCCATCAGACCTGTTGACATTTTTAGTTCAGGGCTTGTGTAATTTAACCCTTTTTCCCAGTTAATTTCCCTTAAGAATAGCTTCTTCAAAGCCTGGAATACTTCAGTTAGAAGGTTTTCAAGGAGGCATTATGTTGATGCCTGAACCAGCTCAACAGGCTCCCTTTGATGTTCTGTTCAGGAGGAATATTTTTCTGTTGTAAAATATTGGAAAAACATTCCTGTGAAAATGATCAGGTACCTCGACTGTAAAGGAATGAGGGAAGAAAAGACCCCATGAAAAGAAATGTAGAGCTACTATTCACACTTTTACAAGAAAGTCTGGCTCCATGGAAGTAAAATATATTAAAATGATGGCTGGCTAAAGACTTCTGCACAGTGCTGTAAGCTGTAACTACTGGTTAGGCAATTTAAA